GGTTATGAGCATTCGAAAACCATTTGAAAATACAGCTGTTTAATTCTATTTAGAATCATATTTAGATATAACTTGTACTCTATCAGTTATCAAGGCAAATATTATTGCCCACTCCCACTACTTTCATTCATAAATTCACAAAGTTTTTGGTGACCTCGAAACGAAGTGTGGAGCCAATTTCATTTTTTTACCATAGGCGTACGCTCACATAAAAACGAAATTCAAGGATATCATAGAAAATTTTATAGTAAGTTACTTATAACCAGCTACAAAAACTAAAAACAATAATAACAACAGCGAATAAACTAAACACATCAATTTCCGACCGTTTATTATAACTAATCTGATGCCCGTGATACCGTCGAATCATTCGATACTACAGCACTGAACACGTTGGATGAGAATATTATCCTAAGACCGGTTGAAGGTCCCCGGACACTCGGGCGGATCACGTGGTTAGCGAGCCTACTGGTTGTATTATTCTACTGTGATTCCGAATTAATGGAAAGTTTGGATTACTGGATTATAAAGGAAAATTATAAAAATAAAATAGTGTCTTGTGTTTCCGTTTACTTGACATTTTTAACTACACGTTATTCTCACTTCAAAACGGCAGGTAAATACGTATGCACGTACACGTGATAAGTTTTGAGGTTGGACTACTAGACAACGAGAGACGGAGCGAATAGACACAGAGGGTCGAGGGAGGCGTAGGCGGAGGGTGCCAGATTATTGGACGTATCAGTCTATTGGAGTGCCGGATTAGTGAGATTCTACTGTACCTGTATAACTCAATTTCTTATTGTTTCTGAAGTTTTCATTTTGGTTTTAAAAATATCTCATTTTGTTAGTGACATAATTTGAAATAAAGTGAGGAAGGTCTTGCAACGATTTTCTAAATGTGAAAAATTAACTTTTATATGTGTTTGTAGGTGCTCAGAACGCTGGACACACTGTTACACTTCTTGTACGAGGATCGAATAAACTGGTTCTCGAAGAAGCGGATCGCTCTATTCATGACGCCCTGTGTGTCATTCGTTGTCTTGTTCGTAAGCAGGCAGTGATTGCAGGAGGAGGAGCACCTGAAATTGAGATAGCTCTCAAGTTAGCCGCTATAGCGAACAGATTGGAAGGCATAGACGCAATTTGTACAAGAGCTTATGCCAATGCCTTGGAAATCATCCCATTCACCTTGGCAGAAAACGCCGGGTTGAATCCTATTCAGGTATTTTATTCAAAACCAGACTGACTGGCTTGTGAATACTAAAGTGCTATATATTTTAGACCGTTACAGAGTTGAGGAATCGCCATGCCAAAGGAGAAATATCAGCTGGAATTAATGTTCGAAAGGGGACCATTTCCGATATTCTGGAAGAAAATGTCGTTCAGCCCCTTTTAGTAAGCACATCTGCCTTGAGTTTGGCCACAGAAACTGTCAGGTCAATTCTGAAAATTGATGATATTGTGAGTAATTGATGTTGATGTTTGAGATAGTAAACTGATATAACCCTATTTTTCAGGTGAACACTATAACATAAGATCTGGATATTGAATCAAACTAACTTATTAATCTTAGTTTATTCTCATTCGTTTTCTCATTTTCTTTGTCAGTTCAGGTTTTAACGGATATGTAACATTTGTAACACCTTAGTACCTTTCTGCTCTAATATTTTGACTATCTTCACCTAGCTTAACATTTTTAAATAATGTTTTGAAATTAAAATCTCATCACTGAAATAAATGCTTTTTTATTTCTTCCATTGAACCAATTGATGAAAGATATTACAGAGAGTTTTATAGGAAAGTTAAACATGTGATGGAATCGGCCGATTTTGATGAAAATCCACAACGTATTCAAGAAATACTTTATTGTGAGATTTTCACTCAACAGTTTTACAACACTCAAAGGTTTGAAAAACGCAACACGTGTTTCGCTATACAATAGCTTCTTCAGGTGTAACAATTAACCCTTTATTTTTGATTATGAAACTTTTGGAAAGAGAAATTTAATCTAATAAGCACACGTCAAACAGGAGCGGATCTAGGAATTTATTGAGGGAGGCGCACTTGAAATAAATTTTTCTCTATTAAAAAAATTAAAATGAAGATGTTTAGTGAACACGGTATTATTTTGAATTGGTGATAATTAAAAAAATAAGTTGCAAGATGATAGGCAGGAGTGTAGGACGGACTGGCTTAGGCAACATAATTAACCATTTTCTACGTTCAAGAGGGGGCACCCCCTGGCTGGATCCGCCACTGATATAAAAAATGGACCAAATTTAATGACGTCAGTCATTAAATTTGTTGCCAAGTGTGAATACACTTCAAAAATATTCAAATTTGAAGGGGCTTGAAAATCTAAACTTCTATTCCTTTTTAGTGTTGTACTGATGTATGGAATGTTATTGTGCTTGTATTTGAAGGCTGTTAGGCGCTGAATAAAATGAAAGTTTTATTATAATTTGGCCGTTTCTGTTAGATATTACTAGAAATAATAGAATTGAAAGGGTGTTTTTAGAAGAGATTACTTTTTTGGAAAAAGGCTTTTTGGCTTTCACTTCTTCATATTGATATAAAAAGTTTTGGGAAACTTCCAAACAGGAAAAAGCAAAATGAACTCTTTACAAAGATGTGTAGATCATGCATAGAAGCTTTCGGATAGAAACTGGTAGAAAAAGCCCTTCCGAAACAATTACTTTAACATGTACATTGAATATGCGAAAGAAAAATACCTTAAATACAACTACTTTATATCGAACAAATTCACATATTTTTTGCATAAAAATAGAGAACGGAGAACTGAAAAGCGTTTTCCCAAAAACTAATCTCTCTAAAAAATGCTATGTTCTTCTGTATCTGTAGAGTAGGGAGGGTGAGTGTAAGCCCACGCACTTAGGCCTCATGTGGCCCATTGTACATCCTCCCGAGGAGTTGTCCTCCTAGGTCATCGTCCATCCTGTCCTTTCCAGGAAGGTGGACAGGTCGCTGGGAGACATCTCCTTTATATCGGTTACAATGAAGAATCTGCTAATTGACAGGAAACTGAGAGTTAAAATACTGAGGTTTTCAGACGAATTTATCCCAAAACAGGGAATTCCACAGGGTTTACCCCTCTCACCATTGTTATATAACTTATACAGCTCTGATATTTATCATCATCCACAAGAAAATATCAATCACTTCAAGCATGAAGCATATATTCTCCAGTATGCAGATGACACCGCCCCAATTGCACACGATCAAACGGAAGACTAAGTTATTAACAATTTGGAACATCTCGCAACAATAACAACTGGTTCACTGAATGGAAGCTCCAGCCAAACCCATCCAAGTCTCATTTCATCATATTTAATCATCTGAATTCCGCAATATCTCCAACAATCAACGTTTTCCAATATATCAACAGTCAATTACCTAGGTGTTACGCTTGATTCCAGACCAAATTTCAACAGCGACGTCAATAACAAAAAAAAGAAAGTGATTGCAAGAGTCGCAAATTTCAGAAGTTTGACAAACCCGGGTGCAGGTGCAACCATATCAACAGCAAGCCAAATATATAAACTAATCTGTCGTCCACTTATTGAATAGTTGCACCCACTGTTTCTCAATATCAAAGGGCCTTGAAAACAATTAAAGTATGTAAAACAACGGCTATAAGGAAAATAACAAGATTTAGGCATCCCAATAACCCCAAACACAACCCTCTGCTGTACCAACTCACTGGTATTATCCCTATCAAGGAAAGGCTACCGTCACTTACTCAGAAGTTTGCTAGAAAAGACGACAATGTAGAAATCATTAGAAAGTATGTTGTGACAAGAAACCCCATGCAAGAGTACAACGTCGACACCCAACAGAAACACTGTTAGAAAAATTAATACAACTTTATCAATGAAATTGTTTTGTTTGTTCATTTTTATATCCATATACTTTGTTTTTTTTTGTTATTGTAAAATAAGCTATGTTATTTCAAAACAATTTTGTAATTGTAATTTTGTTCAATAAATTATTATTATTTACAATACACGTTCAAGTATAAACATTGATGTTTATATAGTGCCCACCATATGTGAAATTTTATTTCTCAACAAAAAATGTCTATGACCTAAGTGCAGTAATTAATTTTTTTTTTCAAAATCACCAATATGCAATAAATTCGAATAAGCTATTACATTTGTACAGAAATATAAGAATTTGAAATAATATATTACAGCTAATAACAGAGATCAATAACTACTGCAAAGCAAATTTTTTCACAGCCTAGAGCCTAGATTATAAAGAAAAGTATTTTTCTCAGTCTAGATGAATTCAGCGGCAAAACAGCATAGCTTGTAATCATAACAATTTTTAGATAATGAAGTACTTACTGTGCTTTTCAATAAAATCTTCATTTCTTGGGGTCCGTCATATATAAAATTTATCTATTTCATTTTTGAGACGGTGCACAAATTTTTATTGATTTTTTTTTTGAGAAATCACCCAAGACTTTTTGGCATTCACTATATGTGGAAAGTAAATTTGAAAATCAATTGAAGAAAATATGTAGCAGAATAAAACCAATACTTTCTCCTAAAATATATTGAAAAAACATACAACAGAACAATATACAACTTCATCACTATATTTTTTACTGTAGTAACTTTTAATCAATATGCACAATAAATACAATAGACCTAATAAAAATAAATTAAATTATTCCTAAATAAATCACTCCTTTCCTTTGAGTTGACTAAGGATTTGGTCAGATACAACTTTCGTGGCCTTGTCTGCATTGGGGATCAGAAACCGATCCATATCGGAGATTTTCAGATTCTCGCCATCAGGTACCCCGTACTTGAATGTGATGAGTTCGGGATGACGTTTTCGAGCAGTAATTTTTACTATCGCAGACAGTGGTCTTTTGACGATTATTTCTGCTGAACCTTTTATGTTTGGAATTTCTCGCAGGACAATGAGTTCGGTATGAGTAACTATCAAATGACTTTTATACATGAAACCGTTGAGTTTCACTTCTTGACAAGGGAAATGTTCGATCACCTCAGATTTCTTCAAATATGCTTGTATTTGCACTAACTCCTGTTGATCATCTGCATCGAGGTGCTGAAAATAAAAAAAATTAGAAAATTTTACTCAAGAATATCTATTATATAGGGTCTTCCAACAGGGACTTCTGAACTTTGACAATTGAAGCTACATGTGTCAAATTAGTTGTCATTTATTCAGTCTGTTTTGCCAAATAATCATGGGCGGAAATAGCATTCAACAACACTTGCCAATAATAAAATTGTTTCATCAAAATGGGTGTTTAGTTCGAGTAAAGTATCGCGCACTTTTCCCATTTTACGGTTGCCATAATCGTCCTACTGAGAGGACTATTCGCAATTTGGTGGATAAATTTGAGTTCACTGGTTCAGTAAACCATCCACCAACACGCGTACGTCGACGAAACGCAAGATCTGTCGAAAACATCGCCGCTATCTGTGAGAGTGTACAGGAGAATTCAAGGCAGTCAATTTCGCGTCGCTCACATGAACTCTGCCTTTCACAGACCACAACTTGACGAATTTTGCGTCGTGACTTGGGCCTGCACCCGTACAAAATTCAACTGACCAAGGAATTGAAGGTAAACGACCATATACAATGACGTTTGTTCGCTGAATGGGATCTGGTCGATGATTACCAACTTCTTTGGCCTGAAATGAATGATCTGGACCCCAACGACATGCGGTTTCAACACAACGGTGCTACATGCCACATTGGATATTATGCACTAGCAATTTGAGGGCATGGTCATCTCACACGGAGGTGATGTGAACTGGCCACCAAGATTGTGCGATTTGACCCCGCCAGACTTTTTATTGTGAGGTTAGACGTTTCAGATGCGCTCCACCCAGAGAAACCACGGCGGACATTTGAACGATATTATATTCCATACATGATGGCATCAATAGGAATAAATGAAGATTTATATTATAACATCATCAGTGAGGGAAAAAATACAGCCCCAGGAATAGACAATATATCTAGGAGAATAGTACGAGCCCTAGAATCAGACATACACAAACATACACTTTCAAGAGATAACTGTCTCTAGCAATATGTTATATGTTGTTCGTAATCCTTTTAATGTTTTTAACAAATCACTTCCCGATGTAATGGGATGAAAATGTACACTATTCCTTCTGACTTGTATTATACAAATTTTGTAATTTGTCCCTTGTGCGAAATAAATATTCTATTCTATTCTATCAACTTTATCTATGAATATTGTTTGAACAATCATTACTATCCTACAGCCTGGAAAGAAAGATTAATAATTGTCATTCCAAAGCCCAATACAGACCATTCACAGACCTGCAACTACAGACCCACTACTCTTCTTCCAGTGTTAGGAAAAAACTGAGAAAATCGTCAAATATCAACTCAGTGAACATATCAATATACCAATGTATCAATTTGGTTTTAGAGAAAATAGAAATACAACCCACCCTATAGTAATTGTAACATCTAATGTACAAACTGCACGCATGACCAACCTACACTCTGCGGCGCTATTTTTGGATATCAATAAAGCTTTTGATAGCATTTGCTATGAAGGAATGTTATATAAACTTCACGAATTGAACATCCCTATCCATCTTCTCTGTATAATAAAACTATATTTTGAGAACAGAACCGTCAGAGTCAGAAATTCGTTCTCCAAAAAATTTGCCCCCCAACAAGGAGTTCCACAAGGCTCTCCGTTATCTCCAATCCTCTATAATATATACTGCCATGATATATACGATCACAACTTGGAACGCAAGACTGAATTTAATGAAAACCTTTATACCTTACAGTATGCAGATGACACTGCCTTAGTTTCACACAACCGCAAGCTAGCACTCACAATAGAGGAACTGCAAAATCTCGTCGACAGGACAACGCTCTGGTTCAATAATAATGTAGATTGAGACCAAACCCGGAAAAATCACAATTCATCATTTTTCATCACAACCCTTCAGAGACTCTACCAACAATAAACATTAACAACGAAATGGTAAGAAGCAGGCAATCCGATCCGATCCTACTCCACGACAACGCCCGTCTGCACGATTCACAAATCACCAACCGAAAATTAAATGAAATGAATGTCGAAGTTCTGAATCACCCACCATACTCTCCAGACCTTTGGCCAACTGACTACCATCTTTTCAAATACTTCGATAACATCTTTACAGGTAAAACTTTCGCCAATCAGGACCAAATAAAAACGGCCTTCGTCGACTTATTCGAATCTCGAGCACCCAATTTGTATAGTGACGGAATCAATCAACTCGTGTAAATATTCATCAAGATATTACAGTAGACTCATAAAAACGAACAACCTAATAGAATGATACGAGTTCAAGACTTGTAATATTACAAAACTCTTACCTCAACATTAGCCACATTATCGTGATCATCATCAATACTGAATACTGGCGCCACATCTCTGTATCTTTTTCCCATTTTGTCGTTGCTGGAAACGTGTCTCTCCTGCACAGGGCTAGCATTAGGATTGACAATGTAGTCAATCAGTTTCCCCTTCACTTCAGCAGATTTTGACTTCATCGCTTCCGAAAGTTTTCCGAATAAATGAATGGATGCTGACGCCTTGGAATTATCTTGAGAATTCTTCGATAAATAACTAGGAGCGCACACTATACAATTTTTAGGGCTGTGGTCCTGCAAAAAGTCTTCGATGTTATCCGAAAAATAGTTATGCACGGCTATGTAGCCTCCGCTCAACAAAGAAACATACTGGGTGTGTTTCTGGAGAAATGAAGCTACCACCATATGAGTGAATTGATCCTCTTCATTCCTGCCTGATCCAAGAAAGCACAAGTGTTCCCCACCTTAACAAAAATTGGAAAACTGTCATAAATTCCAATTATTTAGTGACCAGTTGTGTACAAATTGTACATATGACAAGTCATAATGTTTACAGTAAACAATAGACCCACAATATATCATATACATCATATTCTTCAGAGTTAACAATAAAATAATTATGTATCAGTCATACACGTATCAAATCCACAATATAGAGACATTTAACAGTTACAATCATTCAGGAATTCTTTGTAACTGTAGTAACATTAGTCTAGTAAGAGATTTTTAATGCTCTTATAAAATAACTTGTCTGTTTTAATTTGTGTAATAGCTGACGGCAGGGCATTGTAAAGGCTGACTGTATTATATAGTGGTGATTCTTTAAGGTTTCGCCTTCAATAAATTTCCATTACGCGTTGGATATTCATGACATAGTGAGGTTTTTTTCAAGCAGTGACTCGTTTTTTCTGGCGTAGTTCACACATTTACATATGTTAATATTGAATGTGAGTCACAATTATGATACTAGACAGAAAGGCAAATATTGCGTTCCCTTCAGACGCTTAAATATTAGCTTAAATTCACCTACTGTACTTGGCTTAAGACTCTATAATCGACTTCCACAAAGATATAGATCCTTTTCAAACCGGAAATTTCTTATTGAAGTGAAAAAGATACTAATTGATCTGTGTCCCTACTCCCTANATGCATTGCTTCATCTGTTTTATTGCAAAATATGCTTTGTTTAATTTACAACATACACTATCAATATGTAAATCCCAAGTCAATTGTTCATCCAAAAATTGTAGCCAAAAACTTAGCAACAGATATAACATCAATATCAAGTGAGTCATATATGTGATCTGGAATATTGCTCCTTCTGTTATAGAATCTCATAGAAACAGATTTGATAGTGTTTAAGATGAGGTGGTTAAGTCGACACCATTCTGAGAATTTTTCAATCACACAATTAATTTGTTCTATCAATATTTTAAGATATCTTCCTGATACAGCGATAGTCGTATCATCAGCAAACATTGTGATTCAACAATTTGATAAGTTTTTCGGCAAATCATGAATAAAAATAAGAAATAATAGGGGTCCGAATACCGATCCCTGGGGAACACCTGAGTTTACGTTGAAAGATTTGGATAAAACATTGTATTGAATTGAAATTATGCATTTTACACTCTAAATCGTTTGCAAAAAATACATTGTATCTCGCCTAAGCTTCTATGAGATGAAGGAGTAAAGTTACCAAAAAATTCTTCATATAAAACGATATCAATGCATTATGCTGCTTCAAAATATTATCCAATGTATAGGGTTCCCAGTAGAAGTGAAGCTTTTCAAGTTTTTTAATAACAAAACATATAACGCTTTCCATTTTAGATGGATGAAGTATTTTTATCAAATAATTTACCTAAATATCTCTCCCAATTCTGGGTGAATCAAAACTAGAAAACAATATTTGATTGATTGATTGCTTTATCGTTAAAAAAAAAGTTCTTATCACAAGCTGAAAATAAAGTCGTTTATAACAATTATTATATTTTATATTACATTTGACTTTTCTGTCGAAAGCTTTCTGAAAATATATGCAATAGCAATACAAGTGAATTATACTATAAAACACACAAAACAAATGTTGAAGAATCCATACTCTCTACCGTTTTATGAATTCATACTGTTTACCATTTTATGAACTCATAATTAGGAGGAACTTTCACGAGAAATTTTCCCGCAATTTTTTACCCGAAATCATTGATGTGTATTGGAAAGTGAAAGTGTACCTAGCTAGATATAGATCAGTTTCAGAGTTATGGATTAGTATTCTTCATCTCCTGAACACGCCAACTTTGTTGGGGAAACGAGCGTTGCAAAATATATTGAAGTTCTGGTGTTAGGGAAAAGTGATTGTTTTGTAGACTGGACCTGGAACAATAGCCATTTGGTACCAGTGAATAAATATCTATTATTATTGAGAAGCGTAAGATATCCTTGCACAAGGTTGCAAAGCTGTAACCATTTGATGAGAAGAATATGTGATATTCTTTATGCAGTTATTTCATTTAATTTTGAACTAACTGCAGAAGGTGTTTGTAGAAAAAGTGAATATAGATTTGTCAACATTTGTAATGCAGTCACAAAGTGTATGCAATAGAAATAGAAAATTAATCTCTACTAAAAATATATTCCTTTCAATTTAAACCAAATTCCTATTCAACTTATTCGTGACATCAAGTCGTAGTTTTATGAATGAATTGAGTGCTCTATTTTGTAATGTTATCCAAAATAGTGCTGACAAGTTTTTCATTTCGAAACATTGATGTCCATGTAAGTGTAGCAATCCTGTGAATGATATCTAATTCATTTCCATAAAAATGTTTGGAGTACATACTGAATAGGAAAAAGTGTTATGTTTATATGAAAGTAGTTGTTTTGAGAGGACTTTTTCTTCAAAGTTTGTCTCTGAAAATTACTTCTTTGTATGATCTACAAGCCTATGTTAAGAGTTTATTTTGAAATTATTTGCTTTCTTTCCCAAAAAAATTTTAATCTCTCCTAAAAATATATCGCTTTCAATTTACATTTTAAAAAACAAAGGCTCCTTCTATAAGAGAATCAATAATATAATGAGTCAATTTTCATTCCCAGTGATGTGATACAAAATACTCAGCACTTCTGAAAATGTATTCACTGAAATGTAAAGGTGAAGGTACGGATAATTAGAAGCAAGATAGGAATATCAATGACATTAAAAAAATGAGTAGCCAATTATAAAGATAAGGTGGTAAAATGCAAATATTCTGGAGTAAACAAGACATGAAAAATTTCAATACATGAAATTAGTTCAACCAATAGAAAAGTAACCAAATTTTCTCTTTGTGTTCCAATATAAACATTTATAAATTTTTTAGTATGTTTTTAGTTCATGTTATGGGAATATGAATGAATCAACAGTTTTACCGTACCCTGCTACACATATTCTATCGACAGTTCACTCCTAACAGGTTTCCATCTGTTGAAATAAACTATCGGAACATTGAGCTTGATGGATCTATTTCATTTTTGACTAATTTCCTTTCTGATGATCCTCTCAAAAATAATTGACATGCTAATAAGTCAATGTAGATTTTTGGAAGTTTCATAAAATTTTATCAGGGTGATATTTTAGGTTCTAAAACCACAGGGACACTGATGCATATTGAACAACACTTCACTATGAAATTTTCACAAAACAGTTTACAAAATCACAAAACATTTTACTGTAAACAAGCTTCTTCAGATGTGTCTAGTTTAGAGAAAATTCTACAATTTGGTTTTCAATATGCTCATCAAAGATTTTTATCAGATACCAGTCGATTCTATCACCAAAATTTACCATGGAGTTCCACAAGGTTCCATTTTTCGACTTGTTTATATGGCTTGTTTATATGGCTTGTTTATTATAAAACCATCATGAAGCAATCTGACGACTGATATCTTGACAATTTGTTTTATTAATGAGTTGGTAATAAAAAGTTCAACTTATTCTTATCTGCTCTTGAATTGTGGGCCAAAGCCTGTCTCTGGGCACTAAGCAGTCCCTGAACGGCAGTAGCGAAAGCACTTGGTTCTTGCAACATTAGATTACAGTTTCACTAGTTCGGACTTCCATTGTCTATTATATAAAATGATTTGAAATCCCTGAAACAAGTAAAAAAGAATAATTAAAAAAGAATAGTTGATTCAAAGATTTTCATCAGATATCAGTCGATTCTATCAGCAAAATTTACCATGGAGTTCCACAAGGTTCCATTTTTCGACTTGTTTATATGGTTTGTTTACCTAAGAAGTGCGAAAATAAAAAATATCTTGATTGTTGATTATAAAACCATCATGAAGCAATCTGACGACTGATATCTTGACAATTTGTGTTATTAATGAGTTGGTAATGAAAAGTGGTTCAACTTATTCTTACCTGCACTTGAATTGTGGGCCAAAGCCTGTCTCTGGGCACTAAGCAGTCCCTGAACGGCAGTAGCGAAAGCACTTGGTTCTTGCAACATTAGATTACAGTCCAAATGGAAGGCCGTTGGCAAATGTCCTGCATTATAATGCTCTATAGGCCGACAATCGACCAAAAAAAACCTTACAGCATCAATATTTGTTGTCTCATGCGCAGTGTTCTCTACCAACTCATGCACAGATACTGGCAAACACAAAGCTTGCGAAACCGATATTGAACTGTCTCCTTTCATGCTGTACAGGTTCTGCATCAAATCATTCCTGAATGAAACTGGAGTTTTCAGTGCGTAATATTGCGCTAAAGTGCAAAAATCAGAAACATCATCGGCTTCAAGACCACAGGGCATGTTCATAAGACAAGTTATTATTTTCTCCCGGGATTCACTTTTCATGGAAATGATTTGATCCCTGGCATTCACTACCATAATCAGGGATAAAAAGAAAATAAAAAACGGATCAGACTGCTGGAAATAGTAATCCCACATGTTCAAAACCACCTCCAAGCTGCATGTTGCAGCAAAAAGCGATTGGAACCAAGAAAAACAATACTGTTCAGGAGTTATTCGTTTCGTATCCAAAAAGGAGCACAGTTCTGGGTCGTGGTACAACAGCAGTAGCCTTAGAATATGAAAGGCATTTCCATCGCTCTGACAGCTCTGAGGAATGTAAGTATCTCTTACTGCTTCAAATAAATTATAGGTGGTGGAGCGTGGCGATTTCAATGTGAGTATAGGGGCTAATAACTCTATCCAGCCATTATTGCGAACGTAAGGAATATTCCTTGTTTTGCAGTAGAAAGTGAGGATAGATTCCAAGTCAGATGTGACGGATAGTCTGTCTTCTTCATCGTTTCCTAATTTTGATACAAAATTAGTACAATCTTCTCGCAGAATGTTTTGATTTGGTAGGTCATAAACTTCGTTGAATTGATCTAATTGGTTGCCTTTATCACGAACATCTAAGCATATCTGGAAGTAGAATAAAATAGAATATTTTATTGATGCCTTGAATAGTTTTGCTTACACTCAGAAGAGTTTTGAATACAAATACAATCAGTTTGAATACAATAGGGTATGAATGGTTCTTAAAACACTCCTGAAGAGTAGAGTGAATTCTTCTGAAAAATATTCACTCTTTATAGTTTTCACGATTAGTAATTCACATGATATTTTCAAGTTCAGGTTGAAACAAAAACTATCAGTTCTAAGAATTAAAAAAAATATATAATGAATTTAATTGACAGCAGATGAATTTGTATTGTACCATCAGTATATGATACATTATAGATCAGTATATGATATAGATTGAAACTAGTAACAGGCCTAGTACCTAGCTAATTACGAAATTTGCACAAGAATATAACATCTATTGTTTTAATAATCAAGGTTCTCACCCTCTCTGGGAAGTATTTACATGGATCAAGCTTAATTTTACAACTACTTTTATGAAACCTGTCCTTGACTGTCATCGCTGCCAACATAACACAACTGTTCGTAAACTTTTTATATGAGTTTTCAGAAAGTTGAAGTTTTTTTGGTATATCCTTCATACATGTACAAATTAAGAAATATTGAACGAGTTCAAAAAAGTTTCTCTGTTTGGCAACCTTCAAAATAGGCCTTAGATTTGGAGAAAATGAATATGGTGATGTAATGCAACAACTGAATTTACAAACACTTGAGCAAGGGTTGATCACTTCATACATATGCTTTCTTTATAAATTATTTTCACGTTTTATTACCCGTCCCTCTATATTGTCCTGTAACAAATTATGGCTATATAACATATAAAATTGTAATTGAAATCATGAAGGTTATCAAACAATGTTTAATAGGAATCTTAATAGTCCGGTTGAATAATTTACATAGGGGTTATTTTATTTGGTTCTTTACTGATTTCAAAAGATCTATTCTCAGATTTTAAATGTCTCTGTTACTGTTTCTTTCCATATTCTTTATAGCTTCTTTGATTTTATTTGGATTTATGATCACTAAATGAGGGAATATGTCATTGTGGCTCCGAAGTAAGTTTGATATGATGTATCATTTATAAAATATATATTGAAAAAGTTTTTCTTCACTAGTTACTGTATTATCTTCAAATATCAAGTTGCCTGAGGTTCTTGAAATGTTGCTTGAGAATTCTATTCAGATCTTGAACAGCTTGGTTTTGTTCAAGACAACTGTTATTGGAACATTTCACAAATTGCAACTGAAGTTTTGAACGTTAGGCAGTGATTATATTCATTTCTTTCTTTTGGGAAAACTTATAAAATTTGCTATTGGATACTAATAATTTAAAACTTTACCTGCCATACTTCAGACCTTAGGTTTTCTGGTAAGGCCTTTCCTTTGCAAATACAATAAATATCGGCTGCAGAGCACTCTTCCTGAAGAGCATTTTCCAGATCAGTTAACCTGGGAAACAGGCATTTCAATTACTGAAGAATGTGAGACAAAAATTTTCAAAATTTGGTTTACATATATGATGCATTTTTTCCAAAATAATTCTTCATTCAAAGTTCTCGAAACTTACCAGTGGCAGTCATCAATTTGGGTTGCCATTTTAGCATAGTTTCTGGAAACTATTATAATTTCAACAATTTATAACATATTTGATTTCAACCCATAAATAACAAAAACGTGTCAATTGACAAATTTGTCACAAAACCCCGTAAAGCAAATGTCAAACGACGCAATAGACATAATTTGACCTACTATCAAATGGTTTAATCGTCCCAGGGTATGTGTTCCTTCAATGACGTCAAGTATTTGTTTGGAGTGTTCGTCATCCGCATTTCATTCGGGTTGAAGCCTACTTTGGAGTGTTCTTGAGTCAACAGAAAATTTATAATGTATTGCTTCAACCAATAGAGCGCGTTAATATTCGAACGGATCAATAGATGAATCCATCAGATTCAACTGATCAACGAAAGGAAAGTCATCTTGGTTTAGGTCAGGTTGGAGCCTGGCTCCAACAAGCTGATTGGACAAGATGATTTGAGTGAAAATTTGTAAGAATACTTACATGTGCACTGGAAAAGTGAGTTTCCAAAGGGTTCCTAGGATTGTTCTTATTCATTGATGCAAAAATACTGGGCTCATTCCGATGATAGTTCTCAGACAAATTTCAAAGAGCAACTTCTAAATAATAATCTTGGAGAAAAAGATGGACAGAAAAAATCAGAATTTTTTTCGAATAATATAAGCACACCTTCAGTGATTTATGGTAGATTAAATTAATATTTCCGACAGAAAACCGGTGTCAGTTTTTCTGTGCATTACAAAAAATGTGATGTTTAGAACACTGAGAATCGCTGTGGCAGTTTTGTCAAAATGGAATGTGATTTAAATTAATAAAGTCAAGTTTTTTTCAATTAATTTATATTATGCCAAGGTATCCACAAAACGTAATTCTCACAAATGAAAGAACGGTTCTATACTGAATGAGGAAGGACTATATGCTTGAAAATATATGGTACCGATATGTATTATTCAAAATGTAACAATAACGTTGATTAGAAAAAAGTAAATGAAGAAGTAAATAAAATTAAAATGGTTTTCAAAAACTAAAGTATTTTTCAATTAGATAAAGCTTCCTTCGGAAGTTTCTCACATTTTTTCGTATGGAGATGGAGACAGAAAAAGCCAAAACCTTTCTTTCCAAAATACATTCTCTGGGAAAGAAAGGTTTTGGCTTTCTACTTCTTCATCTTTATACAAAAAAAGTTACTACTTTGCGTGATCTACACATCTTTGTATATAATTAATTTTTTGAAATTGATTGCTTCTTTGCTTTCTTTGGAAAGATTCCCACATTTTTTTCTATGAAGATAGAGGAGTAGAAAGCCAAACTTGTCTTTCACAAAAATCAACCCCTTCTAAAAATATCCACCTTTCAATTCAAACAAGATTGTTATGGTTTGGAATAAATAAGCGAATGAATGTCATTACGTAGGTACTGTATTGAATGCACTGAGTGCTTCATCTCGTGATGTTATTTATTTATAAAAATTTACTTCTTTCGCAATTTAAATATAGTTTTTTATGGAATTTTCTGATGTCACTTTTTGAATGAGATACTCTTAGACAATTTGTTTGGAACTTCTTTGCGTTTATTTCCTCACTTAGTGATGCTTGACCTCAATTTATTATAATTGAAAATTCACAGAAATAATAATTTATTTTAACATTATCATTATTATTATATTGAATTGTGCATTCGAATTCATACAGAGAATCTGCATAATTGAACGAAGAGAGTTTGCCATTGAATGTTGAAAACTTGCGGTTTCTATAATCAATTTTTAAAGAAAAATATAAGCACGTTGTAATTTCTATAGAATTATTGAAGAAGTTTTCGTGTTTTTTCAATTACTTTCAATTTTTATCTTCAACCTAGTTTCTTCATCTTCATTTCAAACATCTTCAAGATTATAAATATATCAAATAAAAAATAAACTTATTACATGTATACCGTGCCAATTCAAATTTAGCACTATTTTCCTCCAATGGCATCACAAAAGTGGCGATCAAACTTTTTGACATTTCGAAACCCCTCCCAATATATGACCTTGAGTCTACCAAAATATCTCAAATCACTTGAACAAAACACTTTTTGTCCACGAATTGTGTTCTTTTGAGTTATAATGTAAAATAAATCTTCAAAGGAACATGAACAAAACTTGTTATGTTTAACTGATCAGTGTCGACAAGAAGGTAACTCTCGATTCAAGTAAGACAGTCCCAAAGGTTTCCACCAAAGATATTATAATTCATCAATGGTTTCTGTGATGACAATGCTCGTATGAAACTGAAGTATTGTAATTTGCCAGTGAACACAGTTATATACTTGCTTGTGGCAGTGTAATAATGTAATGGTTACTGTCCATAATTGAGATATAACGAATCAGTTAAGAAGTAGAAAAATGTTTTTTCACTTCATACTTTTCAAAATAAAAAATATATAATTTCCAATGAATAAAAGATATAAATTAAGTCAAAATAAATATGTTTTGATCATACACAGAAGTTTCTTCAAGATACAAATTGGAAGAAAAAATCTACCCGAAGCTACTTTCAATCAAATGAAAGACAATACAAGTATTTCAGATTGATGGAAACGAATAGAGGAATGCTTTTGTGTACATTTACTGAACCTCGGATTGGAATATACCTAGTTATAGTTTACGAAGGATCCTATTTTTTTAGAGAGAGATAAAAGATAATCATTTGTTTACTGTTATCTGTGTGATAATACTACGGAAAAGTGTTATTCTTCTCTTTCTTGTCCTTTGTCATCATTTGTGCTTCTTTGAGTTCTTTGGTGTTCTCTGTTTTGTTTTCCTTACCCAGCTGTTTGGTGATCGCGACAGTTCAGCTGATGTTTGTTTTTGGGTTGGGTAGTTTGTTTGATATGACACATATTTTTCAATTTCTCAAAAGTGTGTGTAATATATAAACATTTCCTATGCGATATTAATATTATATGTATCACAAATAACCATATTAATGATCAAATACTCGTTGCATTGCTTATGACGTAATTTAGATGTTCCCGTGAGAACAAAGAAATCCAATTCGTCATTTTGAAAACAGATAAAATCTGGAAAGCAATCGGGTCAAGCGAATTTTAAAAATAAGTCTGGATAGTGATTCATCGGGGGACGACGGTGGAGTTCCGCCGCGTAAAAAGACCCGAAGGACCACGCAAACGGACAAGATGCAGTCTAGCAACGGATGTGTTCAAAATGGGACACCCTCTTGCAGCAATGGAGCTGCGGAGAATGGACATGGTGACGCAGATAATGCTGATAATGGAGTTGCTCTTACACAAACGAATCAGGAAATCGTGCAGCTTATAGGACAGTATCTCAAAAATGAAGGATTGACGTGAGTTCCTAATATTCATTAAATTATTTAGCCCTATTGTCTAGTTCCATTTTTTATATTTTATTCCTACTTATTGAACATATGAAAAAATTTGTTAATTTCATTGTGTCTCCGCTCTTTTTCATTCAATTATTAAAATTAATCCCAATTTTTGTTAGAATTTTTTTGCCTTTGTTTTTCAATGGAATTGAAGGAGAAGTCTATTTATAGAATTATTTATGAGAAACAACAAAAGCTATTTTAGCATAAATTAAAAAAGTCCTGTATATATAACATTTTTGAAATTGGTGCTGAATTTGTCAGTTATTTATCCTTCATAACCATAATAACCCATAGAATGTAGTCCAAAAGTTGTTTCACTATGTGGTAAGAACAGTTTCATCCAAATAAAAATAACAATGGAGATGTTTGGCTTTCTTAACCAAATCCATTCTTGTTATCAAAATTTTCCAAACAATATTTAAAATTTTTTTTCTCTTGGAATATGTATCTTCAACTTTTTTTAAGGTTAATAAAAAATTAGAGGCATCTGTCGAGGTTTGAAATGTCATAATTATTTGTTCTTTTTCTTTCAGTTTTTAAAACTAATCCCAATTTTTGCTTCAATGTTTTCGCCTTTAGTTTTCAAATATGTTGAAAGGAAAGACTATCATAGAAATAATTGAGAGAAACAGAGGCTGATTTTGCATAAATTGAAAACATAATGTTTACATTGCATTCTTGAAATGTTCTAACAAAGATAAGTGTTTTTTTTTAACCTTCCAGAACCTAAAGACAAAATGAATAGTAACAAATTATATTGAATATATGCCAGAAATGGTGTAAAATAAGAATAGTACAATAGTATAAATAAATCACTAGTAAGAACAGTTTTCTCCAAATAAAGAAAACAATATAAATTTCTAAGATAGCTCCCAAAAAATGATTGAAAAATAAGGCTGGTAACTTATATATTGGTTAAATGATCCCTTTCAAGTTCTCAATTGCAATAATCAATAACCAATTATTTTTTATTCAAATTATTTTGGAAGACATACGCGAATCCTCTAATCTTAGGAGCATTTTAATTCTCACCTCAATTTTTACTTATTTTCCCTTCGAATTTATAGTTTCTCAACAGTAGCAGCCATGTGCGATAATTAGGAGACAAAAGACAAATAACAATATTTATTGAACATCCTTAATCTATCAGATTTGACACACATCAGTGCCGGAAACTGTAGTCTTAATTCTTCCTTGTAGTTCTTTTCAAAAACTGATGTGTATATTAATTTTCGTGAAGTATAGAGTTTAAGAAGAGTAAGTTCTTGCAGTTATGGTATGGTCCATTTTTTTTAGTTAGATCACAGTTGTTATGGATTGTATTTTGATGCACATGAATGTGATTTCTTTAACCTCCTCACATTCATTTTGTCAAGTTTACCATTGCTTTGCAATTGCTGATTGCGTTTTATTGTGAATTTTTGTTTGTTGTTATGATCTAAAAATGTATCCAGGTCATGACTCCACACAGTGAAAATATCAACATCTCAAAATAAATTTCCAAAGATTTCTCAAAACGGTCCATATAAATATTACATGGAATTGTACATGAACTCTTTTTTTTTTTTGGTGGTGGTGATATTCATGTTTTAACTGAAAATTGTTTTTTGAACACTTAAACATTTTTCACAATCTCCAGAGATTTTTACTAGTTTGGACTTCTATTGTCTAATATTCTAATTTTAATTTATTCTTTCAAAGGTTTCGAATCATATTGGAATCATATTAGTATTAGACAATGGATGTCCGTACTAGTAAAATTCACCATGAAACATTGTCAATCACCTTCAAACAAAATCCGGATATTTATCCAATAGACTATCGGCGTTAAAACCTACTAGTAGGTTACCATCTATTCTAGACTTATCAATTTCTTGATTAGATGTTGGGACAATATTTATAGTGAAGTTATTTCCATTAACTGATAATGGTCACAAAATTTTCAAGTAGATGTTTGTCAACTTTCTGACAATAGCTCTAATTCAACTAATTGAATAGAATTGGCCGATTCTTGATGAAAATCCATATTAAAAAACTAGTCAGTACAGTTTATTGTAAGATTTTCACTATACATTTATAGTGAAAATCATACAATAAACTATTGTATGGGTGAATTGAAGTTTGAAATCGGTCAAGAAGTTTTTGAGATTATCCACTATAAACAAACTTACAACATAATCAATGTTTTCTCTTTATAATATTGGTTGAGATTTGGATTAGAAGTTGAGGTAATTTTTGGAGAAAATGATCAAGTAAGCTTACCAAGATCTTTCTCAACTCTGGAATATAACCAAACTTATCGACAAACAGTAGTGCTAAAAATCAAATAAAAAAATATTTCACCTGAAGCGACATTGTCATTAAAAACAAACAAAAATCTTTGTATAATATGCAAAAGCACATACACACTTAGAACATGTTGCCAAAAAGGCAAGGAAAATATGTCAAATTTCAATAAGCATTTTTCAAGGTTTGTGGTAATTTGTTATATATTTTTATTTTCATATATACAGTCTACCTTTCACTAGTGAGGATGTGATTATATACCAAGGTTAAAGTTAAAAATACACATACATTCCTTTAACGAAAGTAGTGTTAATGTCGACATTAAACTTTTCAACAGATTTAAAAACTAGATACATCGATTATTAGCAGATTCATGAGAGCTGTAGATATTTGTATATGTAAGTATAAATATTTCAATGCATTTTTAGAAGGACCTGTGATTCTCTGATTAATGAATCAGGATGTTGCTTGGATCATCCTGCGGCAACTAAGTTCCAACAGCATGTACTTGACGGAGATTGGACCAAAGCTGATCATGATTTGCAAGAGTTACGACCGTTGCTGGGTCAATCCACGAATCTATTGGTAAGTATAAATACTTGTTATTTCTTGAAGTGAATAATCAATTCTACATTGAAAGAAATTTATTGGTAGAAGGATCTTTTGTTTTTTTAATTAAAATTTCAAAAGTTTATAAACTTTGAAGCGATTCACTTTCACACTTGAAGTTATGATATCCGTGAGTGTACTTTGGAAAAAAATTTAATTGAATTGTACGAGAAAAAATGGGAGTGATTTTGCCAAATGTTAGTGAATGGTTAATACCTAATAAACTAGACACAAAATGGAGCTATAACTCAAAAAAATTATTTTAATATGAACAGCAGTTGAACCGGCATGAATCTGTGAAACTATTAGGTAATACCCTCGACTAGTTCCTGAAACAGACGGAACATATTGATAACTCAATGAGAAATCTTTTTAGTCAACTATTTTTGTTAAGGAAACTCAGGAGATTACTTAGCCCAGATTTCTCACTGTTCCATAGTTACATATCCTAAGGAACTATGTTATGGGGTTATTCTGCACATGCTCCCCGGATTTTGACAAAAACGTGCTGTAAGAATCTACGTACAAAATAATTTTGGACGAACCCGAAAACTAATGAGAGAAAAGGTTAAAATCATGTCTTCTTCGAATGACAATAATTATAATTTCTAAATCGATCATTTTCTCAATGAAACTTGCACTACATTTTTTTATAAATTCACCGCTTCTTACTTATAGCATAAATAAAATCAGTGGCCTACGTGATACATTTTTTATTAATAGTGCGAAAAAAGTATTTGTACTCTTTCAAAATTTTTTCTTATGTAGGGTTTTTGGCGATGCTGAATCAGAATTCGAAAAAAAAATCGGTCATTTTGACTTCTAATATAATTTTCATGAATATTTGACGGTCCGTTGGTAGCCGGTAGGTTCGACGTGGGTGCTTTGTTCAGTCACTCAATCGACCGCCGTGTTGGTCGGTGGTTCAAGGAATCACACGATAAAAGATAAGACCTCGTTAGTTCTCAGCTCTCACAAGTTTAGACTTCTGAGGTTTGTCGTTTGTAGGGGTGCCACAGCTGGTTAATGGAAAAACATATTTTGAACATTTTATATATTTTTTATTACCCCCTAAGAAACAAAATATACATCAACGATCCAAATAAATATGTTCAAAATTGCATTCTGAACACCAGAGATATGGGGGTGAATTGATGAAAAGCGGGACACACTATACTGTCCCATATCATAAGTATGATCAAAGATAACTTGAGTAAATAAATATCATTAATTATAGGAGATGAAATTCTTAATACTCGAACAAAAGTATTTGGAGTACTTGGAGGATGCCAGAGTTCTCGATGCCTTGCATGTTTTGAGAAACGAACTCACTCCTCTGCAACATAATACTGCGAGGGTACATCAGCTGTCTAGTTACATGATGTGTTCGAATACGGAAGAACTGCGGGAACGCACAAATTGGTAAGTACATAATATCAATAGAAGAACATTTGTTTCTTTTATATTTCAAAAGAGTGTTCCAGCTGAAACTTGTCACCAAACTAATCTGCGAACAGCGAATGAAAATCGCTCAGATCCGTCCATTTTTATTTCAAGGGGAAACACTTTCACCAAATACATCATCATTGTATTGTCAACCCCCTCATCCCTAGCAGCCCCTACTTCAGAATTTTTAATGGGACTACTGTACGTGTGATACATCATTTTGAAGGGAATTCAATCCCAAATACATCTGTGTACTGGAATTGAGGTTCGATCAAGTGTTGTTGAAGTTTAAATGAAAAATAAGTTTTGTCAAGATATTTTTGTTTTTCATCACCTAAAATGTAATCATCTTATGAAAGGTTCAAAATGTAAACCATTCATTTCCATACAGAAGTATAAGCGATTTTCGAAATGTCTTCGCACATTTCTCAACATTTCTGGAGTCACTGCACGACACTCTACATCAGTTCTCTTGCGTACATAATCAAGAGAATTTGGCTGTGTAATATTAACTTTGGATTTCAAATGACCCCCTTACAAAGAAGTCTAATGCTGATAAATCAGGAGATCTCGCTGGCTATTCTATTGGTCCTCGCCTTCCAATCCATCTCCCTGTGAAATTGCCATATATATTTCAAGATAAATTTGTCCGTTGAGGTTACCATCAATAAAATATGGACCTACAATATGGACTCCCAGAATGCCAGCACAAACATTCAATTTCTGGGGGGTTTGTGAATGAGTTTCCCTTTGCCAATGGAGATTTACGTCACTCCAGTATCTGCAGTTGTGCCTGTTCACATGTCCATTTAAATAAAAAGATTTATTAGAAAAGCACACATTAGAAAAGCACACATTATTATCACCAATCAATAATTGACTCCTGATTTCACAAAACTCTGTAAGTCTGTCAGGATCATCTTCATTTAATTCTTGTTCATTCTGCATATTATATAGATGGAATTTTGCTTCTATATTTGCTTATATAAACGTTTCCAGAAACTACATATACCGCCCGGAATTTAGCTGCCTCTTGAAACTCGGATGCACTTTAATTCTGGATTTTAACGAAACCAATTTCGAAAATTTTCTCTGAACTGGATGTTGCTTGCATATGATGGGTTCCATTAAAAAACATTGGCCAACAATAGTCCCAAGTGGGATCCTTGGGGCACATCGGATGATTTACTAAATTTCTAGAAAATTTAAATCTGTTATCTCGAGTTATCTGTATCCGATTAGAGAGAAAACTTTATACCCAAAATAGGCAATTGCCACAAACTCCCATATGCTTTAGTTTTTGTATTAATCGAGTATGGTTGATTTTTTTGAAGGTACTGTTCAGTACTAATTTATTCAGTTCCGATTTGTAGGAATGACATGTCGTTAATTTTTTAGCACTTTTTCTAGGGTATCCTTAGACCCATATTCTAGTCCAGAGCCAATAAAAAAATAATATAGTTTAAATTGAAAGAGATATATTTTTGATAAACAAAACTTAATTGCCTAAAATCATTAGAGGTTATGTTCTGTATGTGCTCATTAACTCAGTCGCTATTTTTCTTCCTTTGGAAGATTTTCAACATTTTTTATTAAAGATGGAGAAGTAAAAAGCCAAAAAGCTTTTTTTCCAAAATGGTAATATCAGTTTGTAATTCATGACAGTAATACTTGTAGGTCATTAGCAAATAACATTAACTGGGAGTTGAATAATTTCGTTAATTAAAATCTGCAAAATGTATACTACCAGAACTAAATTGTATTACTATTCACTTGTATTTATTTATTTCTGAGTTTGTAAACTTCGAATTTAGATCTTTTGAAACATTTTAACCTGAAGATATTTTAGTGATACTGTTTTTACAAGGAATCTTCTCAAATAAGAGTTTGACCTTTCATCTCAACGCCATGTATTTTCTTTTATTAATTTCCATCATAGATTGATGATTGTTTCAATCATACTAGATTAGTATTTCATTACTTCATTTTATTGTAAAGACTTGAAAAATTGTTTTTAGAATATATTCATACAAGACGATACAGTGTGAGCAAGAAGTGTGGAACACTGAATTTCATACTAAATATCATAAATGATTTAAGGTCAAAAAATACATAACCTTTATTATATTTATCTCCATGTAAACCTGGTAATAATGAATATTTAATGTTTTATTGGGAAGATAGCAATATCTACCAAAAAAACGGATATTCATCTACATTTCAAGTGATTGAAATATACCATATAAACTGTATAAAAATATTTAAAATAATGTATTGAAAATGTAAAATTAAAATGAAATCAGCTATATTTAAAAAGTGGTGACATAAATGTATAAATAATAACTAATGAAACATATTTCGATAAGTACAGAAAAATCTATAGAGGAGTAATACGTAATGCAATAGGTATATATTACAAAGACAGAATGAATACTGCTACTAATAAAGTGAAAGAAACACGGAATATTGTCAATGAATTGAGGGGAATGAACAATAACCAAAAATTTCCACATATCTCCCTACATCCTGACACTTTTTAAATGACTTTTACTGCTTCATGGTTGAGAAATTAACTGAGAGCTTGAAACCTATACGAGATCCATTATTGTACCTTCAAACAGTATCAATAAACAAACCATGCATTTTTTATAACACCGATATAAGAGAACTGAAAAGAATCATCATTAACTGTAAAAATAAAAAAACATCTGGAACTGACAATTTGTCTATCAGAATATTTGAAAACTTACCAGATTTTGCTCTACAGGTTCTTGTTCAACTCATAAACGACACTTTAAGGGGTGGAGTTTTTCCACAATTTCTTAAAACATCAATGGTCATACCTTTGCCTAAAGGGGGTGATCCTAATGATCCATCAAAACTAGGACCAATATATTTACAACCAACTCTTGCAAAGTTGATTGAGAAATTAGTTAAAATAAGACTTAATGACCATTTAAATATAAAGTAATCACTCCTCATCAATTTGGGTTTCAGGAAAACAAAAGCACTAATGATGCAATATTTAATTTTATTCATAAAGCATACAGCAACTTGAATGATGGTGAAGCGACTGCGGCAGTATTCTGTAACTTGTCAAAAGCATTTGATTGTGTTAACCACAGAATACTGCTGTGGAAGCTACATTATTATGGAAACTGCCTGAAATGGTTTGAATCCTATCTTACAGAACGTAGACAATTTGTTAAAACTGGTTATTCAAGTACAAAGAATGTGAAAGCAGTAGTGTCCCAAGGATCGATGTATGTATATATAGTTTATATTTTATTTTAATCATTTGTATTTTATACTCTTATACTTTACGTCTTACATGTCATGTTTATATTGATATTTATTTATGACATTGTGTTTGTAACAAGAATTTTATTCTTAAACAATAAACATATAATCAATCAATCAATCAATTAGGACCCATACTTTTTTTACTGTTTGTAAATAACCTGGCTACTGTACGTATTTCTGGTTGTTTCACCATTTTTGCAAAATAAGAACTCATCCATTGAATAAAATGTCTAAAAGGTTGAACAATTTTGATTCGAATAATAAACTCAAATTTTCTGAAGGGTGTAGCCGAGAGAATACTGAAAATAGCAAGTTATAACCTTATACATGGCAGAACTATGTCAACGTCTCTAACTGTTTTTGCAGCTTGGATCGATTATTATTTTTGTTATAGGCAAGGCAAAGGTGTCCGATCCCGTACGATTTTGATGAATAAAGTACAATCGTATCTTCCCCCTTCCATAATGTTACCGCCGAACAGGCTCCAGGAATTGCTTAATCAAGCCCTCGAGCTGCAGGTTCTTCGTTGTACACATCACATAACTTCCGAAGGAGCTGCTTTACCTAATGACACCCTATTGGTCGACCACAGTTGCCCCAAATCTTCATTCCCTTTGTTCACAATACAGGTGAGCAAAAAGTTTCTCTCTTTTACATATTCTTTGGATGCCAATTCACAATCAATTAAAATACCAATAATTTCATCGGTTCATGTTTTTTATTTCTACATTGTCAATCTGGTTACTCAATAGCTTGCTTTGAAGTTCAAGATAAGCTGTTTTATTACTAAGTATCACGAATTTTGGCTTGATACCATTTGATTTTAAAATGTTAGGATTACTATTATAGTATATNTTTATATTCTAGGTTAACCATTTGTAATACATTTATTCAACCTCACTTTGATTTCTGTGGAAGTATATTATATTCCTTTGATGCTAACAAAATTTCAAGTCTACAGAAATTGCAGAATCGAGGAATGCTTATAATCTTAAGGTGTAACTGATATACAAATAATATTTTCATGGTGGACTCATTGAAATGGTTATCGATGTCACAGAGATTATACTTGATATCTATGATTTTCATTTTTAAAGTCTTGTATAAGTTGATGCCAGAATACTTCAATGATTTTATTGTCTTTAAATCTCAAATTCATAATCATCAAACAAGAGGAAATACAGGACAATAACTTTACTTACCAAAAGACAATCTTACTAAGTCAATGAAATCATTATTTAATAAGGGTTTGAAAGAATACGATGAACTACTTAATCACATGAAAGGTGCAAAAACAATTAATGAATTTAGAACTAGTATTGTTGCATATAACATCTAATCACTAATATTTGATCCAATATTACCGTGATATATTGATTTATGTTTACAGGCCTATGTACATGTTGATATGTGTTCTTTTGTTATTGATTTTATTTTTCAATTGTATGTATATTAGGATAAGTTTCCTATTCAATAAAGATTAATTCATATACTTAATACTACCTTACCGTGAAATTTTCACAGAATAGTTTATGAAACTACACCGACAACGTGTTTCACCAAACAATAGCATGTTTGGGTGTGTAGAGAAGAAGCTATTGTATAGTAAAACACATGTTGCAATTTTGTAAAATGTTTTGTGAAAATCTCACAATAAAGATATTGACCAATTCCATCACATGCCGATATTTTTTCCAGATACTTCATGATCACTGTGATGAAGTTTGGTTTTGCCAGTTTTCTCCAGATGGCAAAAAACTTGCTACTGGATCGAAAGATCAAAATGTTATCATATGGGATGTTAATCCCGAAACATGTACTATTTCTCTAAAGAAGGTGCTAGAAGGGCACAATCCTGGTAAGTTCAGAATGTGTAAGAAATACATTTTTTTTTAAATAAGTGTCAGTTCGGGCCTGAATGAAATTAATATATGGAAATAAAAAGAGTTATTACAAAATTGATTTTGGCATTAGGAGCTGCTTACATATCTTGGAATCCCGATTCCATTCACATGATTGTGTGCGGTCCTGATGAGACTCCTGAGATTTGGCTGTGGAACATAGAAACTGAAAATTTTCTGAAAGTAAATCAGTCGGCAGAAGATGCCCTCACTTGTTGTGCTTGGAATAAAGACGGAAGTAAATTTGTTGTAAGTATATAGTTTTTTTGAAGAATTTATTTATTTGATTAGGTTACTCTAATATGTAAATATATTAGCATGTATATTTTTATATAAATAACCAATATACTGATAACTCTCTATTGATGATTAAACTTGAGAATTACAATTATGAACCTATAACAAAAAATATTTTATTCAATTTTGTTGTTTGGTGAAATTCACTAAAATCTTAATATTCACTTGCTTCTTCTAACAAACATTTTTTGCTTACAAAATTCCTACTTAAAGTTCAATAGATTTCGAGTCAAATCAAAACACTTTCTCAGAGGTTGTTGATGGTGCCACTAGTCGTCGTTCATAAACAACAGGCAAAGTCTGACATATGCTGTCTGCTCAAAAAATCAAGTGAACTTTAATTTTTCTCAAAAAATATTTATTCAACAATTTTTATTTGGTCTCCTTCAAAATAGACTCCCTCAGATATGATACACTTGTGCCAGCAGTTCTGATATGCACTTTTTGGTATGCCCTTGAGCTCTCTCTGCGACTTTTTCCTGTTCTCAAGATTGAAGGGACCCATGAAAGGACGGCGTTTTGCAACGATTGAGTTTATCTTCTCATGGGTCCCTTCAATCTTGGGAACAGGAAAAAGTCGCAGAGGGTCAAATCGGGTGAATACGGTGGCTGGGGCATGATTACAGTGTTGATTTTACGACGATTTTACGACCATGTGGCAAGAACTCCTGGTACACTACGCCACGTTAATCGAAAAAAACAGAGAGCAAAACCTTGACCTTCATCAACTTTGGCGTGCTTTTTTGATCTTGGCTTTCCTAGGTTCTTCCATTGGGATGACTGCACTTTGGTTTCGATGTCATAACCATATACCCATGATTCGTTACCAGTTATAACCCTTTTAACGATTCTCCATAACAATTTTCTTCAATTTCTCAATATGTTCATCAATTGTTGATGTGCTGGGGATTCCAGGTTGAGCGTCGTCATTTACATCTTCACGACCTTTTTTGAATAGCTTGTACACAAAATTTAATGCCTCTCACCAACAAACTTAACATTCTAAACAAAATAGGTACTCCAATATTAATGTAATCTTTACTGACTATTCCTGAAAGGTCATGTTGTCGGTTATTAACGTTACCAGTTATGTTTTACATTCCTGCTTGGATGATTCTCATTGAGAACAAGAACACTGACCCTTGCATTCCCTTTTCTTATACAAACCCACTAATTCAATTCGCTCCTCAAGTGTGTATACCATTTTTTGTAAAACAAATGATAATAAACTAAGCTGACAGCCACCATTTCAAAATAATTTTTACAGTAACATCATCAACAACTAGAAGATGAGTTTTAGAGCCATACAAGATCTGTTCAAAAAAATGAAGTGACTGTTCAAATTTCGTGGGCTGCATACATTAGATTAGCGATTTTTAAAATTTTTTTTGTTAGTTCACTTGTCTCGAACATATTGTAACGAATCTGAAGTCGCCCCTGACCGATATGTCGGCCAGGGAACCAACACATGACATCACCGCAAATGGAATGCAGTCGAAAACCGCCGGTAAAACTCTAGTTGAGTACCGAAACGACTACAGAAGTTTGGAAAGAACCGTTACACTATATAAGCCGGCTTCTCGACCCAAGAGGGCAGTTGAGTTCAGAAAGTGAGTCGACAGTGGCGTACGGTGATTGTACTCTGGGAGAAAAATGTTTACAAGTGGTACACGCTTTTCACAGAAGGCCGAGAAGATGTGAATGACGACTCTCGCCCTGGAAGCCCCAGCTCATCAACAATAATGAAAATGTTGAGAAAGTGAAGAAAATTGTTACGGAGAATCGTCGAATCACTATAAGAGAAGTTGCTGAGGCTGTCGACATATCGGTTGGCTCATGCCATGCAATTTTTTTGAAAATTTTGAGCACGAAGCGTCTGGCAGCGAATATCATTCAAAAATTGTTGAATTTTGACCAAAAAACCGTCGCATAAGCAGCTCAGGAATTGTTGAATAACGTCAACGGCGATCTAGATTTGCTGAAGAGGGTCATAACTGGTGACGAATGGTTCTTGCCACATGGTCATACGTTCAATAAATAGTATTAGCTTGAGATATGCACTTCTTACAAGAAGCATTACGAAAACAACGTCCAGTATTGTGGAAAAACAGTTCATGGCTTTTGCATCACGATAATGCACCAGCATTGCTTGTTCGTACTTTTTTGGCCAAAAACAACACCTTAATCATGCTTCAGCCACCGTATTTACCAGAATTGGCCCCCTGCGACTTTTTTCCTTTTTCCAAGATTGAAGAGACTCATGAAAAAATGGCGTTTTGCAATGATTGAGGAGATAAAAACCGAATCGCTTACAGAGCTCGACATACCAAAAAGTGCATATCAGAACTATCATGAAAACATAATTTAGGATTTGTATTGTAGATATAAAATATTGTTTCTCATTTGTATTTCATTGATTTTTTCATTATCTAAAGGTTGGAGGTATCAGAGGACATTTCTATCAGTGCGATTTAGAAGGAAACATTCTGGATTCGTGGGAAGGAGTCCGAATACACGGTCTGTGGTATCGAAAAGATGGAAAAACAGTTTTGGCATCTGATGCTCATCACAGAATCAGGTCATATGTCTTCGAAGAGGTTTCCGATCAACATATGTGAGTTTTCTTGCATTTAATTATATCTTCAATCCTAAAGTAGTTATAGTGACACACAACTTTTAACAAAACGTAGGGTTCCACTACAGATAACATCCCTAAAATAATGCTTGACCTGGGCGACATATTCAATGGCATTTGTTTATATAAAGCTAAGCTAAGTTCTGAACCAGATTCTTTGGCTCAGACATTATTTATAAAAATGTTCTTTTAAGTTAAGTGTTGTGCTTCAGATAATATTCAACTGTTCAGTATAATTATCTGAAATTAAAAAAAAAATGACGGAATAATTATGTGACATCAAGACATCAAGAAATTTCAATATTGTATGTCATACCTAAGTTGTTAAAAACTCATTTACGCTGACACTTCAAATATCTTTTTAATGGTCGTCAAGGTTTCACTAATGATTAATCAACTCCAACCAATGAGAGGATTTTGAGTTTCCAGATTATCTGGTGTGCTATATGGAACACAAATTGAAATTGTACTGAATTTCTGTCCCATTAAGGTTCATATCAGAAGCTTCAAAAGGATCGCTTCTTGGTCCATTATTTGTGTATTGGTAACTTGTATAATACAATGAAATATTCTAGTGTATTATTTACAGATGATCTTAAACCTTGTAAGCTAGTAATTGATTCTGATGACTGCTGAAAACTTCAGATTCACCTTCTTATTTTTCCAGTTTACAAGAAGACCATCCCATTATGTCTTTTACTGTCCACAAAAACGACAACCTAGCCCTTCTGAATGTGGCTACACAAGGGGTCCATCTGTGGGATTTGAACGATAAATGTTTAGTTAGACGATATCAAGGAGTTACTCAGGGACATTTTACCATTCATTCTACTTTTGGCGGGTCCAATCACGATTTCATTGCCAGTGGTAGCGAAGATTATAAGGTGAATATATTTATAAAATCGCATTTTAGTGATGGAATTCACAGTATCTCATTGTTTCACTCAGAAATACAATTTCTAAGCCCCAAAAATATTGTTATTGAAGAATTATTCACCAGAATAACAAAGTTCAGAAGAAATAATTAGTACTCGTATGTTGGATTCGGCAGAGTTACCATAAAATTGTTGTAAAAATTAAATCAGAATTATCACCACTGTTAGTAAGTAACTGATGGTCTTTCCTTTTCAACAGGTTGATACCTAATTTCCGAATCAAAATCATTATTCAGAATGAGAAAAAATACCAAATGATAAATCATAACTTGAATATCTTGAGAAGTCAAAATTATTATATTATGATGGACAGCTGTTTCACTGGAAAATAACCTTGTTATTATTATAAATAGTGATTACTTGAAACAAAACATGTTTTCATCAAAAAAACTGTTGATGAGATCGCTTCTCATTTGCAGATGATCTTTTTACTGTTTTATTCAGAATAAATGAGAATTCATTGAAAATAAATATAAATAACAATATGAAAAAGATTGAGATATGGTTAAATGACCTCAGTTTAACAATCAACTCAGAAGAAACCGTTTTCATGATCTTCAAGCACAAATATGAACAATATAATATAAAATTAAGGACAAATTAATCAAGTTGAAAAACATGAATATTTAGGTCTAATAATTGATGAATATTTAAAAAAAATTGATTGAACCATAAGTGGAAGTAATCAGAAGAATACATTGTTTAGATACACAAATTCTATTTTATAATGCTCATATTCTCTATCGAATTAGATATATCGTTACAATTTGGTCATCCTTCACTAAAAGGCAAAGAAATATAGTTTATCGTTCATTTAATAAATCTATAAAGGTAATATTTAATAAACCATGGGATATTTCATCTTTGGAATCATTCAAAATGATTAATAATATGACTTTGAATCATTTGATACTAAGAATCTTCAGAAAAGTAATGATCAATTATTAAAAAATTCTAAATTGCATGCTAATTATTCTGAAAAAAGTTTCAATAATTTTCATCTTGATGTTATACATACTACCAAAGTAAAAAATATTCCAATTTCAAATTGTTTAGAAGTTTTTATTAAATTACCTGAAAAATTAAGAAATCCAAAACAGTTTATATATATCAAAGACTTTTTTTTAGTTCGATTATGATCATCAAATTATAATTATTTATATTTCCTTATTATCAAAAGTTGTTATCAGTTTTCACTTGAACATTTTTATCAACTTCTTCATACCAGTATAATTTCTGTGTGGATGTTTTGTATCAAATAAATAAAAATAAATGTAATGGTCAACTAAATATGAAATTGAAATTTACTAAATGTAAGTAAAAATCTTTCACGCAGTTATGAAAGTCATGAAAGAGCAATTTTGAAGAACTTCGGAAAATTCATTAACCTTCCTTGAAAACTTGTTCAACATGATTTGGACCTCTCCTGGCTGAATTTGTTAATAGGCATTATGCAACGAATCTGAACTATCATTTTACTTTGTAGTATGTCCTCATTTTACCTAATCAACTATTGTATTTAATATGATTTGCATATTTTTTCTTTCAAGGTGTACGTATGGAACATAAGAAACGAACAACCGCTAGCCATTCTGCAAGGCCATGCTAAAACTGTAAATTGTGTTGCATGGAATCCCGTCTACCACAATATGCTGGTCTCCGTTTCTGATGACCATACGATAAGAGTCTGGGGACCAAAGGACAAAATGCCTAAACCAACAGGTACCAGCTGAGATTGTGAAGATGGCATTTGTTATATATTTGTAATTTGTTGTAGTGTCTTCAAGTAATGGTGAGAATGGCACTTGGAACGATATGGTTTCATAGTACAGATATATGTAAAAACAAAAGACTGACACCTATCATATTAGCATGATTTTCTGATTATCATTGTATCGAAAGAGTAAAAGCGTTAAATAGGCTATCCTAGTTGCGAAATGTGACTGAACAGTTCTGATTTCAGCCATAGGGGTATTTCTGATAGAATAATAACTTGAAGTACCTCAAGTAATGGAGTTTGAGCATATTGTAATTAATTTATTTTACATACGGGAATTATAATCAATCATATATCTTGTTGGTATTGATTTTTAACAAATCAAAATTTAGCGTTAATTTTTTTGTAATTTTTTATATAATCTATGTTTTTTTTTGGGAATGTTATATATTTAAGTTTTGATTAATGAAATCTCAGTAAGTAACCTGTTATAGCTATTTTGTTCAACGATCTCTTCATTATTTTCTAGTCCAATTTCAATTATACATCATTGGTAATACCATTTGCTAGTTTTCGAACAACATTTTTTTTTATTGAAATTGTTTATGGGTTTAGGTTTTTAGCCGCCGTCTGTTACCTTTTCTTGCTAGCCCTTCATTAGTGCGAGTGGCTGGCATCTTCTGAGGTCTGTCTGTTTTATCACTCCCAAGTACAAGTACGAGGCACACCAAGCTAGACACATTGAATTCGATCCATTCATTTTGAGTGATTTTGAGATATATACTTTGCGTCAGAAACATGGAATGCAGGATTTGCATTGGGATCTCGCTTTTCCTTTATTGACTTCTGGAAATGCTGTATTTTCATGGTGGACTTATGAATAGTATTGATGTTGTATTTTCCAAGAATACAAAATTTCTTATTATCAACTTCTCAAGTATAATCATTGACAAATGATTGCACTAGGATCAAAACATATATTTCTATAGAGTTCTGCATATACGCTGCAGTCTCTTCAGATTATTCAATATTGCACTTGAATTGAATTGTATTGAATTGCAAGCAACATAGAAAAAGATATTTTCAATATCTGATAGAAATGTCTAGAAAATCTCTGTTGCAACACCACCTCCAATCTTGGAAGCGATAACACAGTTCTCTGAAGATGCCAGACATTTGGCGAAACTTGACAGGCTAAAATCCTTAAATCACGAACAGTTTGAACAGATGACCCCTTGAGCCTAAATTCATATATTTTTCGATTTATCTTTCAAAGTTTATTGAAAACAGATAATTTCGTGCCAGTTCAAAGATATTGGTCGATGTCAGAGTATTGTTATGGTGTATCGTTGTGAATGCAAAATATATTAGACCACAACACATACAATTCGAATTAAATTTATTCGAGATTTCAAAGAGGTTGTTACTCTAACCCTAATCTTCAGACACAGTTAATGTTAAGGGTATATATTAACATAAAGTGTCACATATGTGATAATTTTTCTCAGAGATTCAATAATATCATGTTTTTTCGAAATAAAAGGGGTGTGCAACGATATAGGTTGATTTGTAGGATATCTATTATGGTATATTGTGTGAAATGTAGCAATAAAACTATTTTTAATTTAATAAATTTCAAAAGTACCAAAGTGAATGCATTTATTTCCTTTAACCCTTATTTTAGGCTCAGTATATGTGCATAAACTATTAAAAATTTCAAACTACATATATTGAAAATAGCAATCTTTACTATACATTTCATTTAAGTTATTTATTTATTTATTTGGTAAGTAGAATTTAGTATCTCTGGTCTTAAATGAGACATAAGAAAATCGTTTTCCACAATAACCAAGTACCTACAATGACCAAGTGAGCATCATCAGAAAATGAAAGGTGCTAAGTGGGACACGCGTCAAGGCAAGGCGGAATTTTACAGTTGCAGAAAACAGTAGGACATTGTTACATTTTTTGTGGATTTGTAGGTGTGCAATTTTCATTTCTCATTCCAATTAGCCTTATTAAGTAATGCGACCCCATGGTTGCCAACTGCGGTAAAATAATGACATTTGCTAACTTAAAGATAGGTTATTTATTATTATTTTACCGCAGTTAGCAACCATGGGGTCGCAAGGAGAGAGCGACATCTTGATTTTATAATTATAATATCGAACTGAAGGAAAATGTTGAATGATTAACTCGACAGTAACCATTTTCAAAAGCTACAGTTCAGCGAATTTTGACTGGGGCAGACAGTTTTTTTTCTGATAAAGGTCGCATCATGGCGATAAAATTTTTATTTTCGAAACCCTGTTATTGAAAATATTGCCCAAATATTGTAGAAATTCTGGCCAATATCAATAGCACTAAAAGAAATGTGATACCATCTCTATATATAAGTCTGTTATATCTCACTTTTGAAATATAAGTTTTTTGAAAATTATTCATTTTGAAAAAGGGAAACGGTACTATGTTCCCTTGTGTTACAAATGATTTATCACCTCACACTTCAAATTATTGTCTTTTTTGATTAACTTTCCAGCATGTATGAATAATGTGACCCGTTACTGGTTTAACTGAAGAAGCTACCGTGTAGTGAAACGAGGCTTAATATTTATTGCAAAAGTTCTATAATTATTATATGGATAGTTTCAGACAATTTATCATTGACAACTTGACTTTCAAAACATAGGATCCCTGACAGCGTTGCTGTTTCTTTTTCACCACAGCCAGTTACTGCAGTCGGTTGTGGTAGGTAGAGTAAAAAATATCAAGACATGTCGCATCCTTCGCTATCTGTACTACTGCGAAACGACTGAAGCTAAAATTAAAAATAGAAGAAGATTATCTGTCAGTGTCATGTAGAGTAGGGTGTAAGGTTAATAGGTTAAAGAATAGTGGCAATCAATTTAAATAATATTGTACCAGTTTTATTTACAATTCATTGTTTTTGTTTTATCTCAAGGTTGTCATTTGGTTTCATTGTTGACACTGGTTCCTGCAGAAGTTGTTGCATGTCATTGTGATGGCTAGTTTTATTATTACATCTCGGTAACATAAGAAAAATCTGGAATAACTAATTATCATCAGTCAACAGGTAAGTGTTGTATTATTCACTTGTTTAATATTCAATTTTAATTCATTTTGTACCACCCAGTGCTTTTAGAAGTTAGTTATCAGGGAATCAGCCAAACTTTACCCAATGACTAATAATAATCATAATAATAATAATTATATCTCTTCCTCTTGCGATACAAGAGGAAGAGGACTGAAGAACTGCTTAGACAAAGCAGGGATTGGACCAAAACAAATAAAGGGGTCTAGCTGGACACTGTCTACCTGAACAAAATAGGGTTGTTTAACAGGGACTTTTACTGTGAATAATGCAACAAAGGGACAGATGCAGCTTGTCACAGGAGGCAAACAATTTATGTATAACCTTAATTATATCCAGACATATATGACATGTATTCGGCAAGGGACCTCTACCTCTGATGGCAAATAAATTGAGTTGGTGATGAATATTTCAATATAAGTAATCTCATCATAACTACACAAATTAAAAAATGTATTCTGTACAGCTTCAATTTTATAATAGGGACTCCAGGAGACTGAATCATAGTCACCAATGAACGGAATAACAATTTGAGAGTATTTGATTCAAAGTATTTAAAGGCACTATTATTAAATCCTGATATTTTGAATGCTGTAGCTGTAATATACTCGGTATGTGATGAAGAGTTGAGTTCCTCATCAAATATAATTCCTATGTTTTTTATACCAGTGTGAAGACAGCCATGGGTTTCATTCACGAATCAGGGGAATTCACCGCTAATAGAATGGAGTGCGCCAAGCCACCATTGGTCGTTAAAATTCTTAGATAGCCTATGAAAATTTGTATTTAAGGACATTCATTGTAAGCTACGAAATCAGTAAAAAAAAATTGAATTTCACCTATAACAATACTAGATATCATTGTCGTTGATATACAATAAAAATGGGATTGGAGGCAATATAGATCCCTAGGGAACACCACCGTTGATGGTGAACGTATTCGACAGATATCCATCGACGGCCACTTGCAGGGAACGTTCTTTTAGGAAACTGGAGAGCCGTACACAGAAATGATCCAAGCCATAGCATCGAAGTTTTGCAAGCAAACTCTCATGCCACACACGGTCAAAGGCCTTAGAAATATCAAGCGCAACAGCTCTTGATTCTCCATATTTCTCGATTGCGTTATTTTTCAAATATTGGTGACATACGATAGAAGGTCGCCTGCTGATGTTTGTTTCCGAAAGCCATATTGATGAGAACTGTCTTGTCAGCATCTGGAATAGTGTGGTGGTTAACCCTGAAGAGGCATAAGCCTATAGCAGGGCCCCACACAACACAATACACATTCATAATTTTGTAAATATCCTTAAAAATCAATAAACATTTTTGACTTGACTTGAGGGTGGTTGTACTGCTAGATCAGCGGGATTGTCCTAGGTGGTGAGATAATTCGTGTCAAAACAGAGTTGAATCTTTCAATTAGTTTGATAGTTCGAACCTCTGGCGTGAAATGAATCAATTGAAAACACTTTTCCAACACCAGAACGAAATTACGGTCTCTCGACGCGCGTTTCGCTTACAAAGTTAGCGTCTTCAGGAGATCATTGTGACTTAATTTTACTACTATGTTAGTGTTTGTATATGCTAGTGGCCTGTTACTAGTACCTGTTGATAGTACCTAACTACTACCGGTTACTATTACGTAACTACTACCTGTTATTGTTTCTATACTAAACTACCTGTTTTTTTATTGATACTTCTAATTTGTTATGTATCCTCCTATGTCAGTGACTATACCCTCCATTTTTTCTCTAATATATATCTGTTTTTCATTTAGAATTATTACGTATAAGACCAAAGGGGTGTTTGAAATAGGACGTTTGTTGATTTTCAACTTTTTCGATTTCCAAGCTTTTGAATGTATCTGGAAAGTTTGAACATTTCTGTAGTCGTTCTCTATGGCATGTTGAGCGACACCTCCGGTTTATGAAACCGAACATGCGAAATTCGCGTCGAGAGAATGTAATTTTGTTCTGGTGTTGAGAAAGTGTTTTCAATACTTTCAATTATTCTCGATAATGTTGATAACAAAGAAATAGGTCTACAATTAGATGAATCCTCAATATCACCACCTGTAGTGGAATTATCGAAATGATGAAAGGAGTTGCGAGGGGTGAATTTTTTTCGTAAATGTCGAGGACCATACACGTTGAATATTATTATTCCATGTAAAAACATAACTTTTTACATAACCATGATGGAAGGGATTGCAAGTGGTTGAATCTTCCGCGACAAAATCGAAGACAATATAGGTGTTACAGAATACACCAAATACTTTCGTTTTATGTGAAAATATCCCCGGCAGCGCAAATTTTTTGGAAGATATGATTTTTTGAATCGAAATGATGAATGTGGTCCCAGAGGGTGTATTTTCCGATAGCAAGTGAAGATCGATCGTTCAGACTAGGGCTTGAACCACCGACCAACACGGCAGTCAATTCGAGTTAGTGAACAAATCACCCACGCCGAACCGCTTGGCTACCGACCGATTATATCATTATAGAATAGGTATTATGGAATATGCTGAATATTTTTGGTTCTTGTGAAAATATCTCTAGAAGCGCAAATTTTTTGGAAGATATGATTTTTGAGTCGAAATGATCAAAGGGGTTGTAGGGGGTGAATTTTTCCGCAACAAAATCGAGGACTATATAGGTATTATACAATTTGTTGACCTGGTCAATCAATTTTTTGTCTACTTCCATGACTTTTACCAACTCGTTTTCTACTGTTGTTGCTTTGTTGGTGCTTTGTTGTTGTTGCAACACCTTCGTTCTTCGTTTCTGACAAAATAACCTCAAAAACTCCTTTATATCTTCGTTTGGCATCATCTCATATTTTAGTAGCGGGTTTGAAAATCCCGATAGTTACATATTCGGTAAAAACATTGACTTTTGATTTATAAATTCGCTAATTATGATCCATTTTTTCATTTTCTCTTTTAAAAGTCTCTATTGTTTACATTTATTCCTTCCGTACTCAGGAGATCATCTGAGGACGCTTACTTGGTTAACGAAACGCGCGTCGAGAGACCGTAATTTTTTTTCTGGTGTTGTGAAAGTGGTTTCAATAAATATGAGCTAGATAGTGTTTCGATGACCTATGCTTTCGACATTTCCTGGCAAAACGATAGTTGGGTATTTTAAGAGTTAAAAAAAATCTGTTTAAAATCTGTTTTTCCGTTAACCAGCTGTCGCACCCCTACGAACGACAACTCTCAGAAGTCGAAACTTGTGCGAGCTAAGGATTAACGAGGTCTTACCTTTTAACGTGTGATTCCTAACACGGGTTGGACGATAGCAAGTGAAGATCGATCGTTCAGACTAGGGCTTGAACCATCGTCCAACACGGCAGTCAATTCGAGTGAGTGAACAAATCACCCACGCCGAACCGCTTGGCTACCGACCGACCGATTATATCATTATAGAATAGGTATTATGGAATATGCTGAATATTTTTGATTCTTGTGAAAATATCTCTAGAAGCGCAAATTTTTTGGAAGATATGATTTTTGAGTCGAAATGATCAAAGGGGTTGTAGGGGGTGGAATTTTCCGCAACAAAATCGAGGACCATATAGGTATTATACAATTTGTTGACCTGGTCAATCAATTTTTTGTCTACTTCTTTCATGACTTTTATCAACTCCTTTTCTATTGTTGTTTGCTTTGTTGGTGTTTTGTTGTTGTTGTTGTTGCAACACCTTCGTTCTTCGTTTCTGACAAAATAACCTCAAAAACTCCTTTATATCTTCGTTTGGCATCATCTCATATTCTAGTAGCGGGTTTGAAAACCCTGATAGTTACATATTCGGTAAAAACATTGAATTTTGATTTACAAATTCGCTAAACATACATGTCATGATCCATTTTTTCATTTTCTCTTTTGAAAGTCCCTATTGTTTGCATTAATTCCTTCCGTACTCAGGAGATCATCTGAGGACGCTTACTTGGTTAACGAAACGCGCATCGAGAGCCCGTAATTTTTGTTCTGGTGTTGGGAAAGTGGTTTCAATAATTATGAGCTAGATAGTTAGTATTTCGTTGACCTATGCTTTCGATATTTCCTGGCAAAACGATAGTTAGGTATTTTAAGAGATTTCTTGGAATAGTAGTTTTATTTTACCTTGAAGACATTTTTCTATATATAGGAAATATGTTGGCTGTGTTAATTGTTTTTCTTAAGAATTTTCAGTACCCATTTTTTAATAACATGAACTCCATTTAAAAAACTGATATTTACACCGCCCCAGCCTACTATTCTGTATGAAAAAATAGATTCCATCCCCTTTTCTAATGCTCGTTCTTTGCACGAACTGATTCAACCTGTCTTGTAGCTCAATGATTTCTCGTAGGTGTGTATATCCGCGCTCGCATTCCAGTATTTTCCCATTCACTACTCGGATCCAATTTGATTGCTGAAGCACGTACTGATAAAATGCCACGGGAGGTGGTCGAATTTCTGTTAGTGCCGGTTCATTTGCTAGTTTGCTTTGTTAGATTTGCCATGGGCGTCACAATACTTTAACTTGAAAATGATTTATTTCAAAATCAAAACATAGAACTATTTTATTCGGAGATCAATTCTTAAGTCATTCCATAAGCACTGAAAACTTGAAGGTTGATAGAAATAAAAATTCTTCTGAAGAGTGGTTGGCATCTACACCATGACTCTTTATATATTCTCAAAAGAATCCTAATGGAAAACAAAATTTAAAGATTAACTTTTGCAAGTGCAACAGATAAAGATGATGACTCAACCTTGTATATTCACTCCAGTGCGTAATATGCAGAAACTAACAGTCCAGTGAATATATGTCTGATTGTTCAACAAACTCTTGTGATATTCGAAATTTACACTTCTGTATTAAGATGAGAGTTATTATCCGTATTCGGTGTGTCTCTGATTGAGATATATGTCGCTGGATGAGCGAATTAATTTGATTGCCATATTAGCACAAGCTGTATTAACAATGGCAGTTTCTGAAATAACTTAAAATATGGATGATCGTAGTACGAGAAGGACTATGTAAAATCGTTAGTATATCAGAGTTTACTATTTTTAATGTATGACTGAAAGTAAAATCAGACTAGGAAAAGTTTTCAGGAATCGTTTTCAAAGGATCATTTAATAAAATCCACATTATTAAAAAACTAGATACATGTTCAATTTATTTATCAGTGTCACTATTTTTCGGGTTCGAAGGATGTGGATTTTTGAAATTTCTTCCTGACGTTTCGCGAGTGGCTGGCTTCTTCAGAGTATTGTACATCCTGGATTGATATCCGATGACTGTCAAAGGATAATAATCTGCCAGCGAAATGTCAGGAATAAATTCCAAAAATCCATGGCCTTCGAACCTGAAAAATAGTGACAGTCAAAACCTCGGCCGCGAAAGCCTCAACTATTTTGTCAATTATATTTATATAATAAGATAGATATTATTAATCGTAAAAAAATCCAAAATCAATTAGACAATTACTTTGTAGAAACCTCAATTTTATAATTTTTCAAGTTCCTTATATGTAGTATTAAGCCTCATGCACAATCTCGCATCAGAAAGGCTCCAGCAGTCATGACGTCGGCGTGTTGCAAAATGCAAGTGTTTATTTTTTTAAAATTAATTCAACCCGGCCGCCGCTGGTTTTCATCGATCGACTGTGAATTAGGCAAGGTCGCGCTCAACCCTACTTTTTGTCTCTTGATTGTTCTAGGTGTTGCGTCGCTTCAAGAATGATCCATCGGCTTCCAAAGACTTCCATTGGGATATATAAGCCTTACCAACAGACAGAGGAGGCTAGTCTCGTTGAAAGTAGGAACACTTGAAATGGAGGCGATATTCAATAAACAACCACTGATATTCTCGATGTGAAAAAAGATTATTCTAGTTTCCCAAAATAGGAAACTTTTTCCCTATTTGTCCAACCTTGTAGGTAGGTCTTCGAGGTATATTCAATATTTCACGCCAAACATTTTCGAACACAGTAACGTCAATATCTCTACAAATATTTATTCATCTTTGCCGTACATCCAATATTGAAGCAGGTTCAGTTTCATACACCTTTTGCTTCAAATAGCCCCATAAAAAAAGTTCAAAGGTGTCGAATCTGGCGAGCGGGCTGGCCATTCTGTACGACCGCGACGGCCAATCCAACGACCGGAAAAAGTAGTATACAAAAAGTTTCTTACTTGTCTGGAGTAATGTGGTGGTGCTTCATCTTGTTGGAATACAATATCCATATCGAATTCTTTAGGATTCGCTTCGACTATTTCAGTGATGAGAGGGTCAACAGTAGTTTCCAGAATATTCAAATACAGTTTCCCTTTTAAATAAATAATAAATAGAGGTCCTACAATATGGTTTCCCAATATTCCTGCCCAAACGTTAATTTTTTCTGGATATTGGGTATGTGTTTCCCGGAAAACGTTAGGGTTGGTGTCATTCCAATAACGGCAATTTTGTCTGTGAACATATCCGTTTAAAAAAAAGGAAAATTTGTCACTGAAACAAATATTGTGCAGATAGGTAGGATGCCTTGCAATAGTTTCCGTCATGATTTCGCAGAATTCTGTTCTTTGATCAGAGCCATCTTCAGTTAATTGGTGTACCATTTTAGTTTTGTATGGATGAAACATATTCCTCTTCTGAAAGTCTCCACACAGTAGGAGACACCTCACAAATATTCGCGACGGAATAAGTAGACTGTTTAGGATTTACTACAATCTCACCAATTATTTGCACTTGCTGTTCTTCCGGAATGGACGGATGACCTGGGGGCTTTTTGTTATGTACACTACCGGTAGTTGTGAATTTGGATACAAATTCTCTCAAATATTTGGAAAACGTTCATTGAAAATCCTTCCGGTCTCGTGAAAGTTACGCGTCGCACCGTAAATATCGATATTAATGTGTTCCGCCATTTTGTAGTAGGTGAAGATATTGACTTCATATTCTAGGGTTGTGAATTATTCGTCTGGAACTTCAAAATGATGTGTCACAAGACCCCCCCCCTTTCCATTTAATTTTTTTTTCCCAGATGGCGCCCTTTGAAAGTTTCATCCAATTTCACAAAATAAAGTATTCATGCATTAATTTCATTATCCCAAATTTCAATTTTTTGAGTTGACCCCTTCAAAAAATAAAAGGGGGGGCATTGAAAAAATGTACTGTATAACTCAACTAGATAATACATTATTCTAGTTAATCTGTCAAATATTTTGTAGGTTTTCCATATTTTTTCTCTGTGTCGCCTATTTCAGTGGTACTGCCACTGGACTATTAACATGCTTTCTAACTTATCAAATTTCCTTGTTGGTTAAAGTCCAAGATAACTAAATTACGTTAAAATAAATCCTTATTTCATAAATGAATCATCAGAGATCACGTTCGTTATTGAAATGAACATTGTTCCAAGTATTTATAGTCTCGACAAAGTGCAAATTTTGAATATACATTATCTGTTGGTTCTTTAATCGATTTATTTCCACTCGATATCGACGGTACACGACAGCGTAACTTTCCATTATTGTTTTTTTACTTGTAATGGAATTTTCTTTATAGGTCGGTATGGTTTTATGTACGCCAAGTTGCCGAAAATGGACTACGTTTGGTGTTTCAGCCTGTTTGATAGTTTTTGGAATAATACTAGTTTGTATGTGGAGCAGTATTGTGAAAGGGATCGTTCAACATGTAAGTTTCAATCGTTTATTCGATATATTTTCAATTATCCACTTATTTGGTTTCCTGACTAATATGATGATCATTTATTACCTATTCAGCTATCACGCACGCATGTGATTTCTTTGAAAACACCTGATAATCGTTTCATTTGAAATGATGGTTTGCAAACTGACAACAAACACTATCATAGTTCAAATCAAGTGGCGTGCGTAAAAATACATTAAGTGAAAAATTGAACATTTTACTCGTACTAATTTTCAATAGTTTGTATTGTGATCGAGTATCATCAAGCGCCACCTTTATTTAGGAAGCAAAGACCTGAATTTTCCCAGCTTTTACTCGCAAGTTGTGGCCAATTACTTTTAAAGGTTTTGAAACTTTCCTAATATTACGAATCTAATTCTTACAATGAAAGTATTAACTCGTATTTCGTCTTGTTTCCATCTAAAGTCGTCTATAGTTTCCAACGTTCCAATGGTGAGAGTAAAATTTACTGTGTATAGATAGATATACCTCAATCGAACGATCTTGTAAATTCTGAAGATTCTCCACGTTCACTACTACAGTGATGTAGTAAGCGGGGTGCTGCTTGGGTGCTATTCATCATTTTTGATCTGTTTAAAATCTGTTTTTACTTTAATCAGCTGTCGCCCCCATACGAACGACAATTCTCAGAAGTTGAGAAACTTGTGCGAGCTAAGGACTAACGAGGTCTTACCTTTTAACGTGTGATTCCTAACATGCAAAGTCATTCAACAGTTCCTGAGCGAAGTTTTTTTGGTCAAAATTCAGCCCAAAGCTGTATATTGGCTAAACAAGGAAAGCATTTTCCCAAAGAGTTAAAGAGAATAAAAGTACTTTTGTAAATAGAAAGACCATTTCCACATTTGCAAACCATCTATTGATTGAGCAGCATGAATTCAACCACGATTATGAAGTATTACATTTCGTAGAGGATGGTTTGACACTCAATCTTAACGAATATAATTGAATTATTTTTCTCTTCTGAATGTGTTTTCTGATGGTAATTAGTTTATTACATTTCCATTTGATGACTTTGTTTAAATTTTCTGTTATGGTGTTTGAATTTTCGATTAGTTTTTGCCTAATCTCAGATTTTTTCCACAAAATCTTCCCAAAGTTCTATATTGGACAGTTCACATTCAAATGAAAGTTTTTTCAATATTAAGTGCTAAGTTCGATTCACACCAGTTCTTGACTTTCATTAGATCAGTGTTAATTTTTTATTCGAGACTTTTGGATCTTCATCGTGAATTAACTATCGACGGCACTGAATTTGCTTTTTAAAAATTCTTTTATTGTTACAAAAATCAGAAATTATAGAAATACAAAATATATGAAATTATGCGTCTTGTTAGTTTGAAGAATGAAATCTGACTGACTCGGGATATCAAGCTTCGAAGATGTCTGCAAAACACAAGCACCACAGGAAAATTCCTCCGTTCCCAGAGTGGTGCCTGTTCGAAAGTAGCGATTCACATTGGATTTTAATCGCTGGAGATTAAATCCATTTGGAAAAATGTTCTTGGGAACATAAACACAGTTCTCCAGAGTTCTCCAGATGAACAGTGAAATTCGAGGTGTACTGAGTTGAACCTCAAAACGATGAGCAGCCACAGTCCGTCGCGTATTTCTGATATGTACCGCTCTTAGTGGAATCAAATGTGCCAAGTCACTTGAACACCTCCCATGAAAGTATATATAAAAGAGAGACAAATCTCCAACCTTTCTTCGATGTTGATAACAAAGAAATAGGTCTACAATTAGATGAATCCTCAATATCACCACCTGTAGTGGAATTAACTCCTACCCTTTTAAAAAATGGTGGAAATGTGCCTGTTGAGAAAGACCAGTTTATAAATTTAACTAACTCGAATAAAGCATTGCCTCATCCTTTCCAGAAGTTGTTCCGTTATTCATGTCTTATAACTTTGTTTCGTTCTTTGATGTTCGTCTCTTTTACGGTAAAAGTTTATGTAATGTTTATAACTTTCAGGGTAATTCAATAAGGATCTCCTGAGGGTACAGTTTTAGCGTCAATCTCTCAGCAACTGAATAGAAAAAGATATTGATTAAGTCGCTGTCCATTAAAAAACTTTTCGTTTTACTACCACAAGTTTAATAATAAATTTTGAAAAATTCTCTAAAGTCGTTAAAGTGGTAAATATTATTCATTCATATTTCGTTTTCCTATTTGTTTTTGGTCTCTGCTGTTGAATGATGTGCTTGATAACTAAATACACAAATATATTCCCTTGTTATTTATGAATTTCTGTATTATTTTCGAATTCAGATAGCACGTTATTCAAGTTACAAATAAACATCAATATCTTTTGACTAATCATGTGTATGTTCAACAAGGTCATTATTAAAACAAATCCAATCGAGTTTTGAACAAAGTAATTGTGCGTCATCATTCATGATTGAGTCAGTTGTATCAATTGAACGTCATTTTTTGTATTTTTTCGCAATGTTAATAATATGTTGTTATTGCAGGTTGTTTCTTATGTAAAACCCTGACAGTGGTTCCAGCAGTAGCGTACGTTTATTTAACTCGGCTAGGTGACGAAAACTTTTGCTACAAGTTTTACTGAGTCATTCTTAGTATTAGACTAGAATTGAAATATCACCAACTTCATATTCATTGTTGAAATTTAAGGATCACGTTCTACAGCTTAACAAAATCCTATTATCTGCATGTTATGCAGTGAGAATAACGAACCTTTAGGTTGTTTCAAAAGTTCTGTTTTATGAGTCTACTTTAAATTGTAATGTCTCTGTCGGGACTGGTGATAGGTGAATTATCATTAAGCGTACTCAACGATAAAATTTATTAACACAAAACACAATAACAAACATAACACGAAAAAGAAAATTACGAGGTAACCTCGAGGAACTAACTCTAAGTCTTTTCTCGGTCAGCGAGGAAAATCTAGAGGTGGTTTAGTTCTCGGCGGAAACCCCTGAATAAGAAGTAGTTCTCAGCCGAAATCTCAGAACAGAATGAATGAAAGCTTCGGCTAAAAATTAAATTGGAAGTAACTTTCTCACTGACAAAAGGTCGAGTCATAAATTTAGTCAGAAAAGATCAACCACTTGAGCCCTTCTCTTAACTCCTAAAAGTGTTAACAATGAGTACCTACTCGAAACAACAAGTAGTTTCGTTCTAAATATCCATCTTTTTTTTGGCAATAAAGTTTCTTTTCAAGAGAAGAGGTCATTTCAATGATACGCGTTGAAAAAAATACAAAAATGCTAAGTAAAAATTAAAATAAAACAATTAACATAAAAAACCCAAGCAGACGGATATTTTGGACGACTGCTCGATAACAGAGTTATGAAAAGTTAATTTCCTGACAAGAATTTATAATTCAAAAATTAAAATCAATAACGAAATAAAATGTTGCTAAAGTAAGTAGTTGTACCCTACATCTCAATGAATACTTATTCAATTTATTCATTTGAATCAGTACCCTTTTCCCAACGTAAGACAAGTCTATTAATTCCGCCTGCATTAAAATAGTGTGCCCAGGATTCGACGAAGGCCGTTTTGGTCTGGTTCTAATTGCTGAAGGTTCTACCGGTGTGAAAGATATCGAAGTGCTTGAAAAGATTTTAGTCGGTTGGCGAGAGGTCTGGGGAGTATGGTGGAACAGGATCGGACCGGATCTGTTGAACAGTGTCGGTTGCTCCTGACGCAATTTTCGGTACATTTTATCGATTTTTTCACTCTGCTGTGATGGTTTGGCCCGGTTGTAGAAAGTTATAGTGAATCACACCAGCCGCTAACCACCATACAGTAACCATGTTTTTTTTTAGGGGGATTTCGCCTTCGGAAAGGGGCCGGGTGTCTCATCGATGCGCAACTATTGTCCTGAACGTCTCCTGTTGTCGTAGAGGAGACACGTGACAATCCGATCCAAATAAGAATCGTTGCAGTTGCCCAAAAGCAAATAAGAATAGACCTCGAAATGTAACCATTTCTGTCGATCTCTCAAATCGTGGAGCCCTCACTTTTCTAGCTTTTTGACCTTTCCAATACGTTTGAAACCATCAAAAACCGCATGGGAGCTGACGCTCAGCTCTTCCGCTATCTCACGCAACGTTTGTGATGGGTTAGTCTCCACCAGGGTCCTCAAATCCTCGTTCTGGATTACTGTAGGTTGTAGGTCGATCAATTCGGAGCTCAAACTTCTGCTAAAACTGTGTGTATTAGGTTTAGGAACTGTCACATTTGTTGTTAGTTACAAAAGTACGTTGTTGAATCATTAGCTATTGAAGTGAATATTTCCTGTATCTAATATATAAAAATGGATGTTTGTTGATTGGTTGGTTGGTTGGTAAGTGATAAACTTCTACATCGCTCAACCGATCGTGATGAAACTTGACATATATAAGTAATTTTTCATAGAGAAGGTTTTCAGGCTATCCATTTTTCTGTAACTCGCCACTAGAGGACGCTGTAGAATAATGTTTTTAAAAGCACTGTTGTATAATGCTGCGCACGTTTAAGTTCGTTGATGCCCATTCTGTCAAAACATTGGAACAGGAGCGATACAGCAACATAGTACTAGTATATTATATATTCAATAAAGAAAATCAAATATATGACATGGTGGCAGCGGTGGGATATTGATGTAATGCTAATGGAATACCGAAATACACCCCTCAAACAATTACAAAAATCTCCAGCACAAATTATGCTCAATAAAACACTAAGAACAAAACTGCCCATTTTAGAAAGTGAGCTGATGCCAATTATCACTGAAGGGATTCAAGAAAAAAGAATATTAGCACATGAAAAACAAAAATTCTATTACAATAGAGGAGCAAAAGACATGCGGCGTTTAAATGAAGGGGATAATGTGTATTACAGAAAAGGAAAAGTTTGGGAGAGGTGTAAAATAAAGGAAATTCATTCATCTCCTAGGGCCTATGTGATAGATACAGATGACGGCCAACTTTTGAGAAACAGAAAATTCTTTAGG